TATTATGATTGTAGTTTAACTAGAAAAATAACTGATGGTGTTATGGTATCAGTGGTTTCTCTTTTCGAGTACATAGGGTCAATGGTCGTTTATGTAGCAGTGTAGTAGGCAGGCGCGTTTTTCAATATTTTCTAGCTTATTCTTGGTGTAATATTTTTGTCTTTTAGATGCCATATATATGTGGATATTGTAGTGCTGTTGTGTATTTTCTGTCGGAGAATGAAAGGTCGTTGTTGTTTTTTCTTTTCTTGAATGGTGTCTCAGTGGCACCGATGTAGTACATTTTGCTGTTGTTTGCACTTACCTTGGCTTTATATATTATATTCGTTTGTTGTCAGTTTCCTTGAAGTGGACATGTTGTTTTATTTCTGCAGTTGTATTGAGGTTCCTTGGTTGCCTTATTGCAGGTTGTTATTTTTTTTTGTTGTGACTATTTATTATTTCTGTTATATTTTTTTGTTCAGCTGTAACAGATTGTAACGTTATTTTTGTTGAATATCTTTTGTTAATCGGTTAGTTTCAGGGAAGCGCTTTTCAATTTTGTGTTTCGGTTGTGGAGGTGTGTATTGTAGTTGTTGTGTGTATCCACTTTTTTTAGTGCTTCGTCATATGGCGTTTTCTTGTTATTGAAAATGTCTATGTTTGATGAGTTTTAATATAGCCTGCGGCTGAATAATATGGGTATTTGCTTGATGATTGAAGGTGGATATTTGGTACGTAAGTTGGGGGTGTCATTATCTTTTTTGTACGGTTCGTATATATCTTTGTTCAGATTGAGAGTGACGTCTAAGAAGTTTACTGTTCTTGTACCTGCATTTAATTCGATTTTAAATTGTTTTTAGGGCATTTACTATTTTTTCCTAAACCTGTCTAATTTTCTGCCATTGGATTCTCTTATCAGGATAAATACGTCATCTTTATATAGTCCCTTGTCTTTTTTCTTTAGGATCCTGGCTAGATATGAGAGGGTGAATATGCCTACCAACACACACACACACACACACACACACACAGACACACACACACACACACACACACACACACACACACACACATATATATATATGTATATATATATATATATATTGTTTACATTTGATACGCCAGAGCAGTTATGAATGTACGAGATTCATGGAAGATTGAAGTTTATAAGCAGTAAATTCGAACTTGCCTACCGAACGCTCCTTTGTGGCCGAGACGGTAAGGCACGTCAGCGTAAATGACGGTTCCGTATAGGATGCAGGTTCGAATCCTGTCAAAGGACGAATATTTTCTATGAAAATTTCTCGGACATTCAGGCCGGTAAATGTTATTTAATACTATTTATTATAAACAGAGCATTTACTTAAATACTTGTATCTATAAAAAAGAACGTTAAACATAAAAATGTCTTTAATAAATAAATTGTCGGACTTTGTCCATTTCTTAATATATATATATATGTCTTGATAAAGCCAAGCAAATAACGAAACGCGTCGGCTAAGATAACTTTTCCTTTTGTTGCTATTTATATTTTGCTGTTTTTGTTGATTTTTTTCCATGACAAATAATCTGTCGAGCAAGATAGAAATTCTAAACTTCTCGTCCGTAGCGGGTTACCGAACAATAACTGCGTCGATTCAAAGAGATGACCACATAGCGATATGATATGACATTTTATCGGCATACACGAAGTTAAAGCAGAACGCACGAGAGACTCACTTTTGTTATCCAGGTGGCCATAACAAGCCAGATCATTTGCATGATTACAAATGGCGGTGAAGTCGCCAAAATATCCCTGGAGAGACAATTTTACATCTCAGAAAAGTGGCTTAATGCCACATCAAGTATCATGGCGACTGCAAGGCAAATTATTTCCTAAAGCAGAAATGAACAAATAGACAGACGATGCCGCAATTTCGAATAATAATACTATTACTGTTAGTGCTACTACTACTACTACAATAATAATAATAATAATAATAATAATAATAAGAAGAAGAAGAAGAAGAAGAAGAAGAACCCCATACACACCAGTCGTTGCATAATGCAGGATTAAATGCTGAAACGGAATGTTTTATTTTGGCTGCACAGGTTCTTGCTAAATAGAAATTACCATGCACATAAACTGAAAAATTGTGTTAACCCCAAAATGCAAATTCTGTGATGGATATCAAGAAACAAATGGCAATCATGTATCAAAATGTACAGCATTAGCATCAATCGAATATAAAGCACGACATGGCAGGGTAGGCCAATATCTACCCTCAAAAATCTGAAGCGTTTATGGAAAAGAAATTGCAAGAAATTGCTTTGAACACTACCCAAAACCGGTTGCAGATATATGACCTCTAACAATTCTATGAAAGTTTGCAATGCACATAGACAAATCAATCAAAGCTAATCGCCCAGCCTTAGTAATCCAAGGCCACAAAATAATGTGCTTTCATATTGACATGG